AGCCATATATATAAGAGAAGTATATATATGACAAAAGCTGAAATTTTTTGTCTGTGTCACTACTACCTCATGGCACAGCGTAGTTGCCACAGTTGTGTAGGTGGTTATGTTTATACTTACTATAATCAAGCTTATGTCCGTTTGCACCCACAAATTTAAGCGAGGCTTAGCTTAAGCGTAGCTTAACATCCATGGCAGCCATTGTCTCAATAATCGTTGCCATGGATTTTAAGCTACGCTTAAGCTAAGCTCCGCTTTAGATTTGTCGTGTCGGTGCAAACGGCCATTAGAGAAAGAAAGAGTGACGAGTTATAATGATCGTAAAGTGAAGCCCACATTTGTTTGTCATTTCACCGAAAACTAACCTATAATTTATATCTGTGAAAAAATATACTTTCGTGTGTTTTTTGACTATCACTTCCGTGCACTACAATGTACCATTGTCCAATAATGTTTTTAATCGCACACTTCGAGACTTAAGGATCGCATAAACACGAAAATGAAAATTTAAATAAACTTTGGCTCCGAAAATATGGCCGCCCCAGCCTTCAACGCGCAGCATTGCCCTTGATAGGATATTACCAGTCCCCTTTCTTTCATAGTTTAAGTAATCAAGCTTCAATCTGCACCTTACTTATTTTACCAGTGGCGATATATATGTGATTATTGGTTGTTTTTTACACTACTGGTATACTGCACGATTGCCAAGAGCGCTCTTTGTTTGACCCCATGTATTTTTAGCGTATCACAACCAAGTTGCGGTAACGCTTATAATTTATATGCTCAGTTTTCCGTCGTCTGTCTGTCTGTTCCATCGACATCTCGGTCCCTGGGTCACCTGTGGAGACCTCGGGTTTTCGTTAATTCATAGCTGCTATGGAGTATATTTGCCTGTTACTCATCACAGTACAGGTAACACTTCACTTTTTTTGGTCGTTTCCAAATCTTGCTTGAGGTTGTTTTTATTGAAGGGATTATGGCAGCTGAAAAGTTGCGTTAACACTTCACTTTTAGTTCGTCTCCAAATTTGGATTTTGGTATACTTTCTTTTTGTTGAATTGGATTTGAATTACTTACTTTCAGGGAAAATATTTCTATAGTGACGGCAGAAAGTTGATAAACATTAGAAACTTATATAAATAAATGTACTGCTACTGGTATTATACATGTATAGATGATTTCACAAATTGTCGTACACTTTCACGTTTAGGCAAATCTAACTCGTAGCAATGATTGTCGGGACATTGATTGTAGGAGTACTACAATGCGATCAAAAATTAGTTGCTTTCTAGTGACCTTTGATATTTTTGTTTACACGAAAAATCGTACTTAACATGATCTTCCAAAGGCGACTCGACATCAACTCATTTTTGATCGCCCGTTATTATGTTGAGTGCGAATTAGTGGGAAATGGATTTATAGTTTGTCTTTGTTTTTCATTCATTATTTAAGAACAAAACAATTAACAAAAAAAAAACAAACAAAAATGCACATGTCACCTTAACAATTTAAACTTTGACCGTTCGGCGTATGTTTAGTAACTGCAAAGTCACGGCCTTATAAGATTTATGGCAAGTGCAATATTCAATTTTTACTGGGCATCTACTTTTTCAAAAAATAACGAATTGCAGCTAAACGAATCACTTTAGATGTCATGTGTAATAAAGTCAATAAAATTGACCAAGGAATCGAAATATGCAATAATATACAGGGGGTTGGTTGCACTTAACTTTCATATAAATCACCTTGTAATTGCAATTTCGTTGAAAATATTTTTTTCACCCACGCACTAATGGCGCCCCCTGTATAATTTCGCCTTTAAATAAAACCTGTACTGTAATTGATGAGTAACAGGCAAATATACTCCATAGCAGCTATGAATTAACGAAAACCCGAGGTCTCCAGGTGACCCAGGGACCGAGATGTCGATGGAACAGACAGACAGACGACGGAAAACTGAGCATATAAATTATAAGCGTTACCGCAACTTGGTTGTGATACGCTAAAAATACATGGGGTCAAACAAAGAGCGCTCTTGGCAATCGTGCAGTATACCAGTAGTGTAAAAAACAACCAATAATCACATATATATCGCCACTGGTAAAATAAGTAAGGTGCAGATTGAAGCTTGATTACTTAAACTATGAAAGAAAGGGGACTGGGCGTCGATTCCCGAAGATGTGTTTTGTTCACATCGACTGACCTTGATGTGAACGTCAATGCCACTGCATTCTCGAATCTACCACATCGAGCGAAAAGTTGATCGAACGCAACGACTGGTCTAGACCACTCGTTGCGTGAAAGTCATGCGCAGTTGCAGCTACAGGACGGATCTTGCAGCTGTTTTGCTATAGAGGTTATTCAGTGCCCTAACCTATAAATTCACATATTTTCTGTGAAATAAAACATGGAATTGTTCGAGGATTTTCTGGTTATTAATAGCAGTATCCATAATGCAAAAACAAAACAAAATACAAAACTGACAAATGACAGTTCAATTCTTGTCTGTGATTGGTTAGCGCATAAAGTTTGTCCACGATTCGGGAATGCAGCTAAACTTGAACTTATCCCTATCGTATACGATCATGACGTCATGGCAGCCGGTCACATCACATGCACATCACGGAGCATATCGACTAACTTCGGGAATCGATGCCCTGGTAATATCCTATCAAGGGCAATGCTGCGCGTTGAAGGCTGGGGCGGCCATATTTTCGGAGCCAAAGTTTATTTAAATTTTCATTTTCGTGTTTATGCGATCCTTAAGTCTCGAAGTGTGCGATTAAAAACATTATTGGACAATGGTACATTGTAGTGCACGGAAGTGATAGTCAAAAAACACACGAAAGTATATTTTTTCACAGATATAAATTATAGGTTAGTTTTCGGTGAAATGACAAACAAATGTGGGCTTCACTTTACGATCATTATAACTCGTCACTCTTTCTTTCTCTAATGGCCGTTTGCACCGACACGACAAATCTAAAGCGGAGCTTAGCTTAAGCGTAGCTTAAAATCCATGGCAACGATTATTGAGACAATGGCTGCCATGGATGTTAAGCTACGCTTAAGCTAAGCCTCGCTTAAATTTGTGGGTGCAAACGGACATAAGCTTGATTATAGTAAGTATAAACATAACCACCTACACAACTGTGGCAACTACGCTGTGCCATGAGGTAGTAGTGACACAGACAAAAAATTTCAGCTTTTGTCATATATATACTTCTCTTATATATATGGCTTTTGTAGGTGTAATACCTAATACAATATTTGTCATAGAAGTGCATCCATGACCGTGTCCATGACATACAAGGAGGTATTAGGCGTATTGGTTTTACGCTTGAAGTGAGTCGTTTACCTGAGACAAACTGAGTTTGGGTTAACTGTTTACATAAAACATAAAAAAGTCATAAAGGACAAAAGATATCCTAACTTCAAGCTTAATTCATAACGTAGCTAACTTCACTCTAAATGTACAGGGTGTTTTATAATCACCTACGTTCCCTTAAATCATTTATTTGATAATTTCTAGACTTTGCATAACTTTATTTACAATTGTTTATCAAACTACAACTACTATATCTGCGTGTTGATAGAAAAGTTACGTTACGTAGGACAATCTTAATTTTTTTCTTAAATTGTAGAGTACCTACTTTTAGAAAAACAAAAAAATCGGTTATTAATCAAGAACATCCCTGTAAGGCCTTTTCTACCGCCCTCGCTGTAACTTTTACCAGCCGTAACCATCACAATAACGTGTATGAACTGTACACAGACCTTTTATAGGTAGGTAGTAGATCCACTGGCAATAACCACCTCCATAACAGTAACTACTACGCCGTGCACGTGCACTTACACGAGGATAGCAATTGTCTACCGTTATAGGTACAATATACAGGATCACAAAATCATATAACCAAAAAGAGAAATTTTTATGGAATAAAAAAAGCAGAGATCGTGGTTTAATATACTATAGTCTAGGGACGCCGAAAATTAAAAACAAACCTTACAAGTGAATGACAGCAAACATCACGCAAAATCGGCTTCATAACCACAGCTACCGCATGCGCAAATCAGATGACTAAAATCACAACGTTCACATTTAAAAGAATTAACAAATCCACTTAATAATTAATTTCTCAAATTCTGGGGCACTTCTAGAAAAACTGTAACTTGAGTTTTAAAGGGGAACATCCCTGCTATTACCCCTATAGGGGGTTTTCTTCCAACCTCTCTGTAACTTCTTTAATGCGATGTCAAAGTTAGGTGTTCTATTTAGAAGTACGTGCAAGTTCAAACTTAAAAATTAATTTCTCGAATTCTGGGGCACTTCTAGAAAAACTGTGATATGGGTTTTAAAGAGGAACATCCCTTCTATCACCCCTATAGGGGGTTTTCTTCCAACCTCTCTGTAACTTCTTTAATGCGATGTCAAAGTTAGGTGTTCTATTTAGAAGTAGGTAAGTGTAAGGTCAAATTTAAAAATTAATTTCTCGAATTCTGGGGCACTTCTAGAAAAACTGTAACATGGGTTTTAAAGAGGAACATCCCTTCTATCACCCCTACAGGGGGTTTTCTTCCAACCTCTCTCTAACTTCTTTAATGCGATGTCAAAGTTAGGTGTTCTATTTAGAAGTAAGTGCAAGGTCAACTTTAAAAATTAATTTCTCGAATTCTGGGGCACTTCTAGAAAAACTGTGATATGGGTTTTAAAGAGGACCATCCCTTCTATCACCCCTATAGGGGGTTTTCTTCCAACCTCTCTGTAACTTCTTTAATGCGATGTCAAAGTTAGGTGTTCTATTTAGAAGTACGTGCAAGGTCAGCTTTAAGAATTAATTTCTCAAATTCTCGGGTACTTCTAGAAAAACTGTGGCATGGGTTTTTAAGAGGAACTACCCTTCTATCATCCCTGCGAGGACTTCTCAATCTGGGTTTTTGTATGTAGGTGAGTTACATTTCTCGGTGTGTGGGTCACTTTTGAAATAAACGCTTCCAGATAACAAAAGAGGACAATCGTTTTATTATCAGGATACAAACTTTTTTTACAATCTTTGTGTAACTTTGTTAGCGAATGACACGTTTTCGTTTACATACTACGGTGCACCCATCAAACAGAACGAGATACGTGTCTAACAATGTCTCACGTACTCGTGTTTCTACATAGGTACATGTATTAGCGTCTTGTAAATATGCAAATCCCTCATTCAATGGAGATTACATATTTAACTTATCGTGTTAGATATATCACGATTGAACACGACACAATTTCCATTACGAAGGAGCATCAACTTGTCGATATGTGTTCCTTACAAGAGAGTCGTAGAACACGAGCTTCCTTCCATTAACGGTTTCTCTTTGGACCCTTTATCCATTATTAGTTCCCACGAACCTGTAACTGTTCATTCAATTTGCATTACGAGGTAAGAATAAGTGAAATTTGAGATGACCTATTTGTATAGCGACAGTGCACTCCTCCAGTTTATTGTTAAGGGTACCCGGCGCCTCTTGCACATCTTTCGAGTTCCTTCGGCCTTTTTCTTGCTTTATATACTTAAAAAAAAAACCAATGTAACTTCAGCATGCAAAAGTTAGAACCGTTTAGGGACCGCTGGTGTATTACGACTTTCAGTTTTTTTTTTTAGAACTTACGGGGGTTGGTACCGCACTTAATCCAATGCCCTTGAAAAAAAAAATCCAATGTAATGTAACTTCAGTCAAGAAAACAGCTGATGGTCTGTGATTCACCTAATTTGGGTTTCCACTACCATGGCATAGCATTTGCAAAATTTGTGTCAATTTTGATAAAATGACCAGCCTATTCCAAAAAATTATCTTTATTACTGGTTTGTTTACATGCAATGTTTTTTCAAAAGGTAAAGCATTACAAAGTAGTTGTATCCGCTAGGTGGTGTCTTTTCAGAAAGTGAACCCTACTTAACTATTATGGTAAACAACCGGCCACTACTGACAGACACGATCACGGTAAATAATGGACAAAATGTATACGTCGATTGTATTGCGCACCCTTCCCATCACTCGGCTCTCTGGCTACCAAAGGGTAAACATTTCAAGCAAAAGGACACAATTTCAAGTAACACTGCTACTTTAAACTTAACCGACTCGAACGCTGGCATTTACGTTTGCCAAAGTCTCCCGACAAAATTGGAAAGATCCGTCAATGTTGTGGCTAAAAAACGAATTAGACGTGACGGTGAGATGAAAAAGTATTTTCAACATTTTCACATGTTGGTTTGTAGGATCATTCGACTTCACTCTCCCTGAAGGACCAATCTCATTTGAGGATGCGTGTAAGTTACAAACGTTAATTTTTTGATTCGGACCTCGTTATTGACAATCTGAGAGTTTGCCACATGTAGGGAGTCGGTGTTAAAAAAGAAACTAGTGACCTGGTATGAATGATAACAACAATCATTTATTAACAAATGAACTGTTGCACAATACGCAACTCGTAATGATATGAAGCAATTTTTTATGTTTTATTTGATCAATAAACAATAAATTATCCATTCGAAAAGTGAATAGCAAGGTTAGTGTCTCCCATGATTACTACCAACTTTAAAAAGAATATGTAAATTACCTGGGAATACAGTGTGTTCCTAAATATGATGTAAATGCGGAAGGGGCTAATTCTTATATACTTTTTTATTAAAACAAACATGAAAAACACTACATCCCAAATATGTCGCAGACGCCATCTTATTTTTATCAATTTGCTATTTTAAAACAGTGCTGTCATTTTTCTATAAATTCATCCAAAAGCGTTGTTGCCAAAAACGTCTCTTACACAGGGTGTTATAATTTCATGAGTTTTTGGTAGGGGAAATTTACGGACTGATCTTTTCCAGGGGTCATGAATTTTTTTTCGGTGCGTCGCTGGTGAGAGATTGTAAAATAAGAAAGTAATCTTCTGGTTTGCTTTAAATTTTTTTGATCTCTTGTAATTTTTTCGTATCTGCGATCGTTTTGACAGTTCGCATTTGACACTGTATATTGTTATGTATATGTTTATAAAGTAAATGTTCAAATTGTAAAGTGTGTGATTATTATAACACTGTAGATTGGTAACGAAGCGCTTCCGTACATTTGTTTATACGATCTATTAGTAATAAAACATCGTATTTAAGAACACTCTGTATACTAACAATAAGTTGCATTATACAATGTTATAAGCAATGGCCAACAGTGAGTTTATGAGTGCAAATTTTCAGCTTTACATTAACGTTCTAAATTATTTACTGGAAGAACATTGTCTAATATGTAACTTTACATGTTTTTAGTACGATTGCAAAAGGAATTTTTAGAGAAATATAAACGTGAGTATATATTCAATTTGAATCTGTTTGAAATTATCATAATGCTTCTAGTAACCGACTATAGTATGCAGAACCACATACAAGGTGAGTAAAAAGATAGTTTTTTAAGTTGATACTTACACCTTGTACTTACCACAAGAGATCAGGTGTTGACTGTTCGCCATTTGTCGAAAAATTAGACAAGAAATAAAAAAATTGAAATTTGCCCCCCCATCTATAACTTGATATTTATCGTTTTTAAGAAAGTCATAAAAAGTCGAGTTACCATTTTAAAAAATCATTCATATCTCAAATTTGGGACACCCTGTATAAAATTTTATTTCATCAAAAAGAGCGCAGCTTGAAGGACTAATCGACGTGTCTGGCCAAATTTCCAAAAAAACCTTTGATTCGCTGAATTTAGGTTACGTTAGATTCACCCTGTATAGTCGCGCGGTTGCCAGCTCTTACAAATATGTGTATCTTCGTACGTCTTATAACATATATACAGGGTGGAGCCTTTCTAACTTAAATCAGGGAGTGTCTAATTTTCTTTTATGTTTTCTAGAAGCAGAGGACAGGCGTCGTGAAGCCGAAATAGAACGTGAGTCATAATGTAGTTTATATGTACACTTAAATTTAGGTTTGAAGTTCTATAATTATTATTCATGCAATTTACGTAGAATCTTTGCATTGTATTTAATTTTCTCTTGTGTTGTTTAGGCGCTGAAGAACAGATGAAAGCCAAGAAACGGGAAAGTGAGTTGAAACATTTGTTTTATATCTTGCAGTAAATATTTTGGAATTTTTGTTGTGTAATTAATTGTCATTGTTATTAGAATAATTACAAGGGCTGGCTTCAGCACCGTTCAAAGTTCCAACACTGAACTAGTACTCATTGACAATAGGTGGCGCTGTTTTAAATGTAATAAATTTCAATGAATATCATTATTATTATTTCATAACTGTACTATTTGCCATTTACACATTCCTTTTTTTAAGGTGTAAATCGCACTGTCGGTGTAACAGTAGGAGTGCTTGCCATTGGTATGTAAGCCTAATCATTGAACGGATAAGCAAAATTGATTTTGTAGGCGGAGTACTTATAGCGATCTTGTGCGTGCTTTGTAGAAATTCCAATAGAAAACCGCCGACACCTATAGCTTCAATATCCGTACCCACGAGAACAACTGTCGAACAACTGCGACCTTTAAATTCTCATACCGCTCAATCTCCGTATCGGCCAATTGAGACCAACATTGCACCTTATCCCCCCACTTCTTTCGCTGTGCGTCCTACTGCACCGACCGCCGTCGAACCGGAAACGCCACCTCCGCCAAGTTATACCGAGGCTGTGAATAATATGCGACCGACGGCACCGGCAATTACAACTTAAAAATTAACTTGAAACCATGTTTTTTAATTTAGGTGCTAATTTAGCCAAAGCCCAAGCTTAGATGCGACGTTGTCATTTAAGTGAATTTATAAATTATTCTAATATTGTTATCTGAAGAGTATGATCTATAATAATCGAATACATTTTTATTTTGCATTCTATTCCTTTACTTTTAGAGGTGTCGTGGTATTTCGTTGCAAAAGACAGTATTGCCAGCTGAAGGACGTGTTTACGATATACGCTAATCGCGATTCAGATTAACAGTGGCACCTCTGGTGGCAGCACTTTGTAATTAATATTGGCGGGATAAGACCGCCATTTTGTTTATTTGCAATTGCCAAAGTACATTTACAATCAATGTAATTACACTTAAAAGGGCAAGGATAGTTGAAACGTCACATTTTATTAGCTTGTGTTCAAGCATTTTAAATGTGACCAGTGCACTTATGCAACCAACATTAGTCGTGTTCGATTCACGTGATTTAGATCAGTTCATTTTCACTTCGGTCAGAGAGCGAACTGATTTGATTATACTTTGAATAGAACGACGAAAAATAGTTTGACAGTTGACAGTTGTATTAGTTTGTTTATTTATTTTTGAGGTTAACATTAAAGGTTTTTTTTTCGTGTTTTTATATTATTGTTGTTATTAAAATGGATAAAATACTATTTGACTACGTATTTGAAGTAAGTATAACGAAACTATCCTTTCCAAATTAGAAATGGTATTTTATAGAGTGACAGCACATCTTCTTCAGAGCTGTTGTCGACATCCACAGATGATGAATCTGACGAGTTTGAGAATGTTAATCAAACTGTTAAAATAGAAAATTATGTCCAGAAGACTGTATCTAATTATTCGGACGAGACCTTCAGAAGGCATTTCCGTGTGAATAGACCTGCGTTTCAACTCCTTCAAGGTTTGTTCTATTATCCTTCTATTACGATCGATTTATACAAGAAATCACTGTAACTGTATTATAAGTAGTACATGTTTCAGATTTAATTACGGGATTGTACAAGGACAACATAGGTGGTTGTGATAGAGTTCCTGCGGATGCTGCCATGCTAATGTGTTTATGGTAGGTACTTAGCAAATCAAGAAACTTATAGACAACTTGCGGATCGCTTTGGAGTATCAAGAAGCACTGCACATAAAGTGGTTAACACTGTAATTGATATCTTGATGGAGCATGTACATAAGTTTATAAAATGGCCAAGTGAAACCCAGTATTACCACATAGCCTCTGAGTTTCAAGACAAGAAACAATTAACAAATATTATAGGTGCGATTGATTGTTCACACATTGAGATAAATAAACCAAAAGTTAATCAAGTAGATTATTGTAATCGAAAAGGTTATCATAGCGTCATATTACAAGGGGTTGTAAATTGCCAAAAGAAATTTATAGATATTTATTGTGGAGAACCAGGCTCCTTACATGATGCCAGAGTTTTTAAAAAGTCAAAGTTATACAAGAAAATTTTAGACAATCCTTGTTTTTTAAAAGAATATAGAATTATTGGAGATTCTGCATATCCAGCATCATCATGGTTGGTAACTCCCCATAAAGACAACGGTAATCTCAATCCTACTCAAAAAGAGTTTAATTACAATCATTCTGCAACCAGAATTGTTGTTGAAAATGCCTTCGGGCTTCTAAAAGGAAGGTTTAGGCGACTTCAACGATTTAATAATATAAACATAAATTTCATTGTTAAATGTATTACTGTTGCATGTATGATAGGTACACAACCTTTGTATTAGTCATAATGATAACGTTACTGAAACTGATTTTGAATATGTAGATATGTAGGTAATTTATCAATATATGCATTCATTATTTTGTAAGGTATAGTGTCTAGATTGTATTTTAAGTGGTTTACGAAATTTAGGGTAACTCAAATACACTGAACACTGCATAGGAAATTTATGTGAACAAATTTATTTAAAATAATGACTACAGTAAAAGACAAGAACAAAAATTTTTCAAGTACAACTTCAGTTACACCTTAGATCTCGTTCGTTACAAACATAATTATATACAATTTTCTATAAAATGTTCAATATATTTCTACAAATAAAAAGGTATAATACAAATCACTGCTATTAAGACAAAGATATTAAAAAAAAATAACAACATTGGCAACATAGGTAATAAGATAGTAAGTAGTTATTGCTTTCTTAAGTATTCGACATACTTCTCAAATGCAACAACTTTTCTTTCTTCCAACTCCCGCTTGCGTTCCCTATCATTTCTTCTTGCTGCAATTTCTTGTCTCCACATATTGAATTTTTCTTCTTGCAATGAATTCTTTTTCTTTAAATATTCCGCATAAATAGAGGATCTTGGTTTTTTTTTCGGTGTTTCCGTTTCAGTTGCACGACTTGTACTTGGCGTTGGTTCAGGGGTTGTTGCTGTGACATTGCCAAGATTCTCAGGCCGCTCCATTTCTGCACCTACAGAAATGGTATGTGCACATGACATTGATGGTTTGTTGCCAAGAATATCATTCATGGCTTCATAATATTGAAATCGAGTGGCACCTCTTCCCGATTTTGTAACATTGTCCCTTACTGTTTTGTAAGTACGGACCAAATTTCTCCACTTAATTTCGCATGATTTTGGAGTGCGATGAATGCCCTGACTTAATAATAAATTACTAACATCATCCCAAACATGTTTGCGTTTTTTTGGATGGTCGAAATTTTCTTTTAGGTTGTCATATGCATGCATTAAGGCCAAAATCTCATTATTACTCCAAAATGCACGGTCTGCCTGTACTTGGGTTTCATTGTCACTATAAATAAGAACATTGTTAGCATTTATTCGATTTACTATTAGTACTTACTTACGGTGTGGCAACTCCTGCTTGGGGCTCGACGTCGGTTTGAGACTCGACAACGACTTGGGTCTCATCCATTTGCGACTCGTCCATTTACGTTTGAGCATCAATATTGAATATCTCCGACTCTCTGTAATAAGTAATTGTAAGTACATTATCAATTAAAGTGGTTAGCTATAACCCCTTACTCATTATTTTCATATACGCGGCTAATAGACCTTATGGCTTCACTTGTCGGAATATTTACCAATTCACCACAATTATGTAGGGTGTGTAATTGTTGAATAGCAATGTCATCATTATCTGGAATTCAAAATTATAACTTCTTGAAGTACCTCTATCATACACCAACTTACTTGTTACATCAAAACATAACTCATTCAAAGCTGCGGGTATACACAAAGTAATTGGAACATTGTTCACTTTTGCTTTGACAGTATCCATCTTTATAGGTTAAAATAAACAAAGCGATCCTACTGAATTAACTGAATGCAAATTTTTCTACAATCACTTTGAAGTGATCCAATCAGTTGTTTCAGTGGTGGGGGTGAACTGATTGAAACAGACACGAACGCTGTAGGATCACTTTTAGTTACTTAAATTAGTACAATCAGGTGAATCGAACACGCCTATTAAAGGATAATTGAAGAAATCGTCTTCTAAGGCATAATATTTTCAAAGTCTTTAATTGTGAACAGTGCAATTACAAAACTAATAATAAGGAAAAGTATTGTTTTTTTTTTGTGGTCATGGGAGTTGCGTATTTAGTGTATTTAGTACAACGTGACAACGCTGCAATGGCGTAGCGTGGTTGAAGATTGTGGAAAAGGCATGATAACATATTCGTTTCATTTTCAGTTTATTCAAAATGTGTTCTGTTTAAAATAAAATCCAAATCCTCCTTTTACACTGTTATTAAAAACGTACATGTACTAAACGACTAATGTATATGTGGACTAATTTTGTCTGGTGCAAATGGTTCCAAAGAGTTTTTAACCAGCGCAACTATTTTAATAAAAAGACTAAATTTAAGATTAAGCACATTCACAATACTCAAGTCTGCTGTTGGTATCAAAATTACACTATGCACATGTAAGTCCTTAGAAGTCCCTGTAATGAAACACAAATTTGATGTAATTCCTTACGTAATCACACTCAGCCTATTTGAAATCCTAGTGTTTTAAGAGACATGATTTAAAATCTTAAAGTCAGACTTATAATTTGGATAATGACGCTGAGCACACTTAAAACTCTAGGATTTATCATGTTTAAGCAATTGCAATGTAAAACTGTGGTTATTATCTGTTGTGTAACACACTGGGAACATTTGAAATCCTCCACCGAGTCATGTGCTTTCAACGTGCATTTGTTATTGGTTGCTTAATCAACCGACCACATTAGAAAAACTAAGTTGTCTTGTGAGTTAAGAGATGTTGTTTGTAACGAAATTTATAATTGGTTGCGTGATCACACTGGCCGCATTTGAAAAGCTTAGTTGTCTTGTGAGTTAATAGATGCGTTTTAAAATAAGAAAGACGATTAGTTGCATAAACACAATCGACACATTTGAAATCCTTGGAACGTTTATGTGAAAGCAGATGTGTTTTTAAATAGCACTTCCTGGTGGTTGCGTAATCACAATGAGCACACTTGATATCCCTAATTGGCTTGTGGGTAAATAAGTGTCCTTTAAGATACTCTTTATTGTAGGTTGCGTAATCACAATGGTCACATTTAAAATCCTTAGATATCTTGTGGGTTAATAGGTGGCTTTTAAAATAGACTTTATTACTGGTTGCGTAATTACACTGACCACATTTAAAATCCTTAGATATCTTATGGGATAACAGGTGCACTTTAAGACTATATTTATTACTCGTTGCGTAGTCACACTGGCCGCATTTATAATCCTTACATATCTTGTGGGTTAATAAGTGTCCTCTAAGATAGAATTTATTAGTGGTTGCGAAATCACAATGAGCACATTTAAAATCCTTAGATATCTTGTGGGTTAACAGATGTACTTTAAGATAGTATTTATCACTGGTTGCGTAAACACACTTGTCACATTTAAAATCCTTGGACGTCTTGTGAGTTAGTACATGTCGTTTAACGTAGAATTTATTACTGGATGCGTAATCACACTGGCTACATTTAAAATCCCTAGAGATTTTGTGGGTTAACATGTGTGCTCTAAGATATAATTTATTATTGGTTGCGTATTCACACTGGCCACATTTAATGTCCTTCCATATCTTGTGGGTTAATCGATGTCTTTTAAGGTAGGATTTATTACTTGTAGCGTAATGACACTGGTCGCATTTAAAACCCTTTATTTTGTGGGTTATTAGATGTCGCTTAAGATAAGCTTTGTTAGTTGTTGTGTACTGACACTGACTACATTTGAAATCTTTAACACTGTTATGGGTTTGCAGATGTGCTCTTAAATTCCGTTTATATTTGTTCGTGTAATTACACTGAGTACAATTGAAATCTTGCGAAAGACATGGCACAATCAATAATTCATTTTCCTGTTTGACATAATTTTCGTTGTTACAAGTTCGTGTAATGTTATCGTAATCCTCGCCGATTGTAATCTCATGAAGTTCTTGCTTTATCATTTGGGAAACCTCGTCGTTAAGTAAAACTTTCTCATCAATGGCGATATTTATATTGTCTTCTTGTTTAATTTCCACTTCCACAATTTCCGACATTATCACAAGTACACAACACTAAAACAGAGGTCCTTATGCAAATGATAACACCGTAAACGTATCGACCAATTTCCACTTTGGTATCAACCAAATCAATTCAGTAATGCACCTCTTTTGGTGGTACGTTTGATTCACACTTTGCTCTCATGAAAGAATGAAGGCCACCATATTAGAAAAAATTATTTTAAGGCGGCGGCGGCTAATGTCCCAAGTCTCTACAACTTCTTGACTGGTGGCATTCAAGTTATATATTGTGAAGATTACTTGGCAAATTTCACTATCCGTTTGACGGATGAACGGAGAGCTATGAACCCACCTTAACAAAGACAAAGTGCGGTGTGAATTTGTAGCTGCATCTGGGAGGTTATGTATTTAGTACGACGTGACAACGCCGCATTGGCATAGTTCATTCAAAAAAAATGAGAGGTTAGGTTGTAAAATAGGCGTTCATTTCTAGTTTATTCAAAATATGTTCTGTTTAATAAATAAAATCCAAACTTTCACCGTTATTAAGCACGTAAACACAATAATTTACAATGTACTAATCGAGTCAGGTTCGATATATAAAATTTAAATGATTTCCAACAGCTTTTGAACTAGCGCAACTACAATTGTCTCCCATCCAAGACTAAATTTAAGGTAAACCACATTCACAATTCTCCAATTGGTTGCAAAATTTCACTATACACATTTAAGAGAGAAGTCCCCAAAATACTAAACTGGCTCCTAACCCCCCCCCCCCCCCCGCATATTTGAATTCGAATGAGACTTGTTTTAAAATAGTTGGGTAGAAGTGCTGTGTCTCTTTAATATTAATTTACTTGGTTATCTTGTGGTGGGTTAAATCATGTCGTTTAAGATAGTATCTATTATTTGTTGCATAATCACAATGAGCGCATTTAAAATCCGTAGTGGTCTTATGCGTTAATAGATGCGTTTTAAAATGAGATCTATAATTGGTTGCGTGTTCACACTGGCCGCATTTGAAAAACTTAGTTGTCTTGTGAGTTAATAGGTGTCCTTTAAGATAGGATTTATTTATAAGTTGAGTAAGCACACTGGTCACATTTAAAATCCTTAGTTATCTTGTGGGTTAATAGATGTCGTTTAA